GTCCAGCCAGCCCGCGCTCCTGGCTCGCCGCGGGGCGTGGGCACCCAGGCACTGGGCCACCTGCCGCGAGCGCAGGGAAACCGCAGCCCGGAGGCGGCGACGGCCCGGCCTGTCCTGGGGGACCCCGCGGGAGGCCCGCCCGGATGATGCGCCCCCACTTGGCCAAGAATGATGGCTGCCATTTATGTGGCCTTCGCTTCCAGCCGGGATCTTGACAGTCGGAATCTGCTCACAACAAACCTTGCAAGGTTTTAGCCACCCTCTGTATACATGGAGAAATTGAGTCTGTTTAGGGAGGTTCGGTGACTTGTTCAAAGCCGCGAAGCTAGTCGGGACTTGAACCTATTGCAGCCTGAGCTCAAGTTTCTGATCCGTACTCCTGTGCTTGGATTGGAAATACTGGATGCCCAACCTGCCCCTGGCCTGATTGTGTCAGGTTCCCCACCGCTTGGGAAATGTCCGAGACTCCTGATCACAGGTCTGTAAATGGCGCAGGCAAAATCTCACCTGAAGGCTTTGCAAACACCTGGGACACAGGTGCTCAGGAAACTCGTTCGGTGTGAATATGACTTTCCTCTGCTTCAAGTACACTAGGGAGAGTTCAAAGAAGGAGGGAGACATGGCAATGGCAATGTGACGGAGACTGATTCTTCCCTCTTGAGGCTGAGTCAGGACTGTAGTTTTTGGCTTATTCAGCTGGAGCAAGTACTTCTAGAGAAGGGTTACCTTCCCCTTAGGAGACATTTCCTAACCTCCTTTCCCACCTTGCCACAAGGATTTCTCTTCTGATACCCTAGATACAACTTCCCCCTTGTGATGCACGCACCTATCAAAGCTAACTCACTTGCTTTAGAAAAAGCACAGTGTTTGTTTTTTAAAAAAATTTATATCCGTCTTTGTCAGGAAAATTATCATCCATACCAAAAAGTGAAGGTAATCTCGCGGGTGTGACAAAGTTTCACCATTTTCATTTTGATAGCGGGTTTTGAGGTGCTGGAGTCTCTTCTGGAGATAGTTTCTAGGTTCTTTCCAGTCTCAAAGAATTGGAATAAAACAAGCAAAAACGGTGGCAAAGTTTCACATTTACTTGAGAAATTAAATTAAAGAGGAGAAATTTAAAATGAAGGGTAAAAGAGAAACTCAATCTGCAGAGTGAATTTGGGCCTAGTAAAAATAAAGTAAATAGGAAAAATAAAGGCACACCTTAGAGAATACGGGGTGGGCTGACATAAAGTGGCTCGATCATGGTGCCTTGTCTTTTTATTCATTCCACACGTGGAGTTCTCGCAAGAAATCCACATATGTGGTCCTGAGAATTGTTTTGCACTAGTGTCTAAGGGTGCGTTCACACCTCCCTTCCCAGCCAGTCTAAGCTATGCCCTATTTTCTATATCAATGTCAGTTTCCTATGCTCAACACCCTGATGCACATTACTAAGAGTAGATTTATTCATTGTTGTAGCTCAGGTACCCAGCATGGGACCTGGCACATGGTGGGCATTCCAAAAATGTTGGCTTGTGGAATGGACAGTAGGTGTGCAGTTGGGCCGGGGGAATGTGTAGATAGATCAACTATTGCATTATTGGGGGTACTTTAGGGATACCTTATGATGCTACCCAGCAAAACCCCTACTCCAGTGTGTGATATATCCTGAATTCTTCCCCTGGTGTACACAGAGATCTCCAATCAAAACACTTTTGAAGTACTTAGTCTTTTTTTTTTTTTTTTTTTTTTGACACAGGATCAGGATCTCACTCTGCAATTCAGAATCTGGTGTGAATCTTTTGAGGGTTGCCAGGCATGTGTTTTTTAATTAAAATTTTTATATTTTCTTTCATTTTTTCAGTACTAGATACTGAGCCCATGGCCTTCATATTGAGCTACATCCTCAGCCCTTTAATTTTTTTTTTTTTTTTTTTTTTTATTTTGAGACAGTCTCGCTAAGTCACTAAGTTACCCAGACTGGGTTCAAACTGACAATCTTCATGCCTCAGCAGGAGTGTGCCACCACACCTGATTATCTGGTCAATAATATCCCCTAGTTGTTGCAGACTGATCAGATCTGAAATCTCCTGAACAAGTATATGGTGAAGGCTAAATAAAAAGAGGCAAATGGAATGATTTCACGGCTCCAGGAGGATCAGAGCCATCTCCCAGAATTCGAGATTTTCTCAGGGCTAAGACCAAGACCTTCTCTGGGGGGCTGTATTTATTTGGTTATCAGAAGAAGGGAGGGGAGTACTCAAAAAGGATGGAATCACTCAAGGACTTCTCCAAGTAAGGTATTAAATTAATCCATCTGGGAGTGAGATGATTGAGGCTATAGTCTATCTAGTTGAGAGCGGATCCAGGTGTCCTTGGCTGTGATATTTGTCTTATCCTTTGAGGCTTTCCAGTTTCATCTGCCATTACAGGTTTTAGTAGGGATCAGTGACTCACAGAGGTTCACTTACTATGAGTACGCCATTTCCAGACAAGGATTCTAGGCCTTGGACACAAGTGAACATGAAAAGCCAATTGATTAAGTCCTGCTTAGGTCTGCTTCATAGTGGTCTCCATCACTGGATGACAGGTGTTTAAAAGCTGACACTTTTCTTGAATTACATCCAACTACTTCTTAAAGATTACCTAGCACCAGGAACCCCCCAACTGCCTTGGTTTTCAGCATTCTGCAAGGAGTGCCTCACAGCTGGGGCCAGTTTTGTGCTCTAGAGTAAAGTCCTTTACAATAGCCCATGCCTAGCTTCCTCTCCATCTATTTGGTCTGCAATAAAAACATACATAACATTTCCCTACACATAGTCTATGCAAGTATTTCCTAACTAGCTGTCTCTCCTTATCAACCATGGACACATTTGATAAACTACAGCCCATGATGTAAATTCTCCCGTGATTTCCACAAACTACAGAGGACAAACATCAAATACCTAGGTCAGTGATTTCCCCCAACATTTTTTTCATGAAGTTTAAAGTGAAAAATAACATTTCTTTGGCAAAAGCAGAGACACAATCATATTTGCAGAGCCGATTTCAAAACCAACAGTGAAGAATGGCTGAGAGCAAAGGCAGGGTGTTGGTCCGCTGAGTGCCAGGGCTCTACTATTTCTATTTTACAGATTAGCAGGGGGCGTTCCAGAGGTGCAACTGCTGGGCCCAGACCCATGAGTTAAAAAGCAGCAAAGCCAGAATCAAACGCAGATCACTCGGACTCTAAAACCTGTGCTCATTGCTGTTGTCAGTATACTACATGTATTACCATTTATATAATGTATAAAAGTGAGCCAGTTCTGGCATAAGAGAAATAAAACTCATGACGGCTTGCTATACCATAGCAGCATGCTTCCACTCAACTGGAAAGAAATAATTCTCAGTGTAGTGCCTGTAGGTGAAGTAATTAAAGTTGCTGGGTTTCCTCATGGGGTTGATGCTTGTCCAGGTGTATATATTACTGTGTTTTGTTAACAGACTGTCTACAGGAAGTCGTGTTTACTTTTAATTTTTCTTACATCCTCATTACATGTACATGTATCATCTTATGCCTACTTTTATTTCAAAAATGCAAATGCTCCCCTTTCTTTTAGCCTCTTAAAGACAAAGAAGAATGTGAATGACTTTGGAGGGTGGATATTAACTTTAGAGTGTTTCATCCAAACTGAGTTGTCCAGTTTTTATAGTCTTTATGCTTTTAGAAATGAAAAAATGCAAACATTGAGACTCTCAAGCAACCATGACCACTAAAACTATATTGCTAGCCAAAACACTGTATATATGTTTAAATTTTCTACTAGCCACATGAAAAAGTAAGAAGTAGATGAAATCAAAGGATAAAAGAATTTAAATCGAAACTGAACCAATGCTAAAGCTAAAGATTTAACGTCATCTTGCATAATGGTGTCTGCCACAATCACAAAAAGAAAGCCGCCTGGTTGGTTTCTAGAGGGAGCAAACCAATAAGCCACTACCCTTAATCGGGCTCACCTACAGAGCTTTTTAGCAACAGAATCAGTCTGTCAGCTAACCCAGAGCGGTTGAAGCTCTCCAAGGCAGACAAATGCTAAACATTCAGTAGGAAATCAGAATGCTGATTTGTTGATACAAATCCTTTTCTAGGAACTGAAATAAGAACATCTCCTCTCTCAGTTCACATTGTTGCTAGCTTTAAGATCTGTGTGTCTGGATCAGCTTACACAAGTTTGATGACCATAAATTAAAGTGCCGGGCCTAGTGGCGCACTGCTAGGCATAAAGGCGCACGCCTGTAATCCCAGCACTAGGGAGGCTGAGGCAGGAGGATTGTTGGGAATTCGAGGCCAGCCTGGGCTACAAAGTGAGTTCAAGGCCAGCTTGAGCTGTATAGCGAGACCCTGTCTCAAAAAGACAAAAAAACAAAAGAAAGCAAAAATAAAATAAAGTGAAGGGAGCTGGGTAAGCAGGGAGTGTTCACTCAGACTGACCCACAGGAGAACGCCCCTCCCTTGTGACAGGGCAGGGCAGATGTTGTGGTCTGTTGGTCCCATCAGCGGATACATGGAGGAGTAATTACTGTCCAATGCCTTTATTGTTTGCTTCAGACCAGCGACTCCTGATGGTCTAAAACCATTTTTTCTTGTTCTCTTTGTTTTGTTTCTTTTTTATTTTTCTACAGTGCTGGGGATTGAACCCGGGGCATTGGTCATGCTAGGCAAGTGCTTTATCCCTTGGCACATCTCCAAGCCCAGTTTGTTTTGTTTGGAGCTTACACTGTTACTGCTGTACTCTAGGAAAATCTGCCTATGCTGGGTCCACACTCCCCAACAACAGCAAACTGTCAGATCTGAGGCGGCAGATCTGCTACTTTGAGTTTGCTGTGCTGACTGTCACAGCCCAACTGACCAGCTGCTCTCGGAGGTCTGACTCACCTGAGTAGCCCTACAGCTTGTGCCTGTGAGGGTTCTGCTCTGTGAACATGTCTGGTAACCAAGTGTAGCTTCAGAACTTTCTGCTGAGAAAGAATATCAGTTTTGAGTTATGCAATTTTTTATTATTAAGTAGTCAAGAGTCTTATCTCCATCATCTATTACTTACAGATTATGACTCATCTGCTAGGACAGATTATATCTCATATAGGTTAATGTTACAATTGTTACTTATTAAATACTTTGATTCTCTGGGGATTATTTCTTAGTTTTAGAGGCATTCTCCTATATTTCCTTATATACCCACTTCACTTAGATAAAGCAGGAAAGCATGGAAAATACACTGGAATTACACATGAAACTTTGATATTACACGAAATATCTTGACAGATTGAAATAATAAACAAAATGTAACATGATCAAATTTATCCCCACCTACTAGACATAGCAAAGCTAGTTTGGGTTCCACTCTTTACTAAATCTAAAGTTTAAATCCTAAGCAATAAAAACAAATAATGCTGTCAACCCTTTGCTCTCGGTAGCACTGAGGAATAGTAGTGCACAAATCAATTACTGCATCCTTTACATAACAGTATTTTCTATTACTATTTTTAACTCATTGCCCAACATTCTCACCATTATGCCTGTTCCCAGGGCTATTAACAAGAAATGAATGTTACCAGCTTAATGTCCACCTTCTTTCATTTCTTCTCCTTAGTCTCTGAAACAGTTGCTGTCAGCCAATCAAGATGGTCAGCAAAAAAATAGAAAAAACAGGAGCAGAACTGCTCTTAGGTTTTAAGCAGGCAAATGAGACTTAGCTAATCTAGATTTGATTGCAAACGATTTGATGAAAGCAGTGGCTCTCCACTTGCCTTCCCCAGGGTACGTTCACTTGGTTCTCAGCTCCTTTCCTCTGCTCTGGCCTTTACTTAGGCGGGCTCTACACTCATCTTCTGTTCTACTCTGGCTGCTCTTAGCCCCCCTTTACTTCAGCTCAAAGAGGACTTTCTCAGTCTCTTCATACTCACGATGCTCCAACTTGAACTCACTGTCTGTCTTGCTCATCACAGCAGCCCCAGCTGGCCCAGGCATCTTGTTAGCAGGACTACACTGAGTGGTTGATGTTCCAGGAGTCAGGAGAGAAGGGAGGGCACCTCTTGACTACAGCTGTGATATGTGGATTTGTGGACTGAGTATAAAAATTATGTCTCGGAAAGAATGTTGCAAATTAAGCGGGGAATGTGTTAAGATGAAGGAGTTGAGGATCTACTGGCCCAGGTGATTGGAGGAGTTGTGATTATGTGGAAGAACAAGGTACTTGGTGTGTGTCTTAGTTCAAGCTGTCATAACAAAGTCCCATAGACCAGATAGTTTAAATAACAGAAATGCATTTCTCTGTTCTGGAAACTAAGAAGTCCAAACTCAGGGGAGTCAGTTCCTGGTAAAGGTCCCTTTCCTGGCCTGCACATGGGCACACATATAACAGGAAGAGACACAGTTTTTCTGGTCTTTTAGTTTTCAGTGTTGGAGATCAAACTTGAGACCACTCCACCACTGAGCACCATTCTTGCTACTTTAATACAACACTTAAATTTCTCATCTTAAAAATCAAGATTGTTTTCATAATGGTGGTGAAAGGATTAGTCAGATTTAGGCTAAGCTGGGAAGTTCGCTGAGCCGTCATCCAGGCATGCTTTTAGCTCCTCTTCTTTACAGTTGCTGAGGATTCCACTCATGAGCAACAGAAGCAGTGCAGGGGCACATCTGGAACTACTTAAGCTCGTCTAACTGAGAGCTCATGTTCAGTTCCACTGCCTTTTCTTCTTAAACAATACTGTAGCTGCCTCAGGATTGGAGGTTCCAGAAGTCCTGACTGACCTCTGGGACAAATCAGTAGATGAGAGGAGCAGAAGTAAGATATTCTCTTATCTGTACCACAGTAAGTCTATCATGGCTCTGGCAGAGCCTGAGTTCCCCACACTTACAGGCCACTAAGAACGAGACTAGAAGACCAAACCAACATCCCCCATGACCAGTGGGCTGTGGCATTTCCAAGGAAAGAAGAAACAGGATAAGGAGGGAGTCCTATGTCCTTCAGTGAACTCAGAAGCACTGCCTCCTAATAATGAAAAAAAAGCTAATGCTCCCTTCCCTAACAAGCTCCAGTAGCCAATTCAGGACAAACCCCACCCAGCACAGTCTAGTAAGCAAGAAGGTATAACCTGATGTGCTGTAATACTTTGACTCCAATTGAATACAAAGGTCAATCTGGTGACAGAGATCAGTGGTGTCTGGGTCAGTTCATCCATTAAGTCTATAATGAAACCTTTCTGAATCTGGAACATGGAGCATGCCAGGATTCTGGGCAAGCAGGTAGAATCTAATCACATACTAGTGCAAATGTCCCACCAGGTCAAATTTGGTAGACCTTTCACTGCATCTGTGTGGGTAGAGTTGTAGCCAAAAAAACTCCATTTTCTTAATATATGTTTATTGTGCATCTATCATGTAATATGTTTTAAGTGCTAGCGATATAAGAGATACAATTTGGAGCTGACAGCACTAAAAATATATAGAAGAGACATACAAATAATACCACAAATTGATATAGTCACAACAATGACAAAAGCTTTGATAGAGAAGGACATGAGTCTATGCATTCTGGAGGGGAGATTCCCCATGAAAGCAATGATCAATCTGAGTGCTGAAAGTTAAATAGAAATTAACTAGACAAAAATGAAGGAAAAATGTTTTAGGAAGGAACAGCATATGGATGTATGTCTAATAGGACAGAAAGCCAGCATCCCTGAAGAGAAGAAGAAATGGGGACTTCTGTGTGAGGTCAAACTGGAAAGTGGACAGGGACCAGACCTTGTAGAACAGTACATGTTATTAAGAAATTTGTCTTTGTCCAGTAGGAAGTGAAAAGTTATTGAATGCTTTCAGACAGGTGTAGGAACGTGGCTGAGTGATCGAGCCTAGCACATATGAGGCCCTGGGTTCAACCCCGCACTGTCTGAATAAATACATAAAAAAGAATGATGACACAAGTAGACTTACATGAAGAGATCACCTTGCAACTTAGAACATTGACTGGAGAAGAAGTAGTCAGAGTAGACAGGCGAGGCACAAAAAGTTGGCAATCCAAGCAGGACGTGATGCCTGACAATGGTTGTGATAGAGATAAGTGGACCAATGGGAATGATATTTGAAATTAAATTAGCAGAACTAAGTGGTGATCAGATATGGAGGACAAGGGTGAAGAGATAGTCTAGGAAGATTCCTAGATTTCTGGGTTGCAGAACGAGATCAATGGAGGTGTCGATCACTAACAAAGAAAACCTGGGGGGAAAAGAAAAAAAACTGGGAGCGGAGGTGTTTTGGTTGTAGGGAAGTGGTGATGGAGAGGTAGAGCGAGAGTTTAATTTTGGATATAGTGATACCAGTGAGGGGATGTGATGGCCTGTACCAGGACCCTCAGTGATCCCTCGCTCTTTATAGGCACACTCTGTGTGTGACTGGGCTCAGTGCTGTGCTTCTCCAATAAGGCAAAAGTGATGGGATGTTGCTTCTGAGATTAGATTACAAAGACACTGTGGCTTCCATCCTGTTGGGGACCACAAATTGTAAATTGACAATTGTAAATTGTAAATTGAGCCTAAGTATGTCCTAAGCTCTCCTTGCCCTCCTCCCTTGCTTCTCTCTCTGTCCCCACATCAGCAAGCTGCCATGCTGCAAGTTGCCCTATGTAAAGATTCCCTGATAAAAAACTGGTCTCTCTGAACAACAGCCAGCAAGGACCCACCCATAGCCACAGTGGACTTTGAAGTGGATCCCCCTCCATCCGAGCCTGAAGATGAGTGCAGCCCTCACCAGCACCCTGTTTGCAGCCTCCCAAGAGACTCAGCATGAGTGTGTGGCTTTGCCATCCCTGGATTCCTGATCCATGGAAAATATGAGATAATAAATGTTTGTGGTGTTTTAGTTTGTTTGTTTGTTTGTTTGTCTTTTTGAGACAGGGTCTCGCTACGCAGCTCAGGCTGGCCTTGAGCTCACTTTGTATCCCAGGCTGGTCTCAAACTCACAACAATCCTCCTGCCTCAGCCTCCTCAGTGCTGGGATTACCGGCATACGCCACCACACCCAGCTATGTTTGTGGTTTTAAGGGTAAAGTTTTGCAAAAATTTGTCATAAAGCAATAGTTAATACAGGTTACTTTCATAGATACAAGAAAATATGTTAGGTTGGAAGTGAATTACATATCAAGAGATCAGAGAACTCTGAATTGAAGATATAGACTTGTGATACATGTATATTTAATGAGAAAGAAAGTATTAAATGAAGGAAAAAAATTGTTAAAACAAATCTAGAGGCCCTTTCCACTGACCATGTAGAGTCAGATGAGTTTGCAAAGAAGAGAAAAACGGCAGCCAGAGATGTGGGAAGAGAACCAGGGGAAAGCTGGCTCATAAACCAGGAGAAACAGTGTTTGAAAGAGTATGGGATAGTCAAGTAAGGAAAAGAGTGAGAGCTTGGCTTTGACGTAAAAGTAATTCATAATTCCAGCAAGAGATGCTATGTGTAACTGGAAGCTAGCATAATATGAATTGAGGAAGATAAATTATGAAAACTGAGACAAAATTATAGACAGTTCTCCAGAGAATTTGACCCATCAACTTAGGAGAGAGATCAAGTAGCTGCTGGAGGTAGATTATTGTGTAAGTCAACTTTCCATCATAGTAAAAAAAAAAAAAATACCTGAGAAGAACAAGTTAAAGGGAGGAAAGGTTTATTTTGACTTGTGGTTTCAGAGGTTTCAGTCCATGGTTACTTGGCTCCATTGCCTGTGGGCCTGTGGCAAGGTGGAACATCATGGTGGAGAGTACATGGTGGAGTGAATTTCTTTACTTCACAGCAGCTTGGAAATACAAACAAAGAGCTCACCTTTATAACCAAGCCCCTCCCAAATCCCACTTTGCTACGAATCAATCAATGGACAAATGTATTTATGAGGTGAGGTGAGAACCCTCATGATCCAATCATTTCCCAAGTGCCCCAACTTTGAACACTGCTGCATTGAGGACCAAGCCTTCAACACATAAGATTTGGGGGACATTTTATAACAATTATGATTACTGTTTTACTTTTTTAAAGGAGAGATATCTATAGATATTAATTTAAAAATGAGAGTGTTTCAAATGAGAGAAAAAGATTAAGTATTCAAGAGGAAGAGAAGAAATAAGAGATAATGTAAGATTCTTGGAAACTAGGAGTGGACATCTTAGACGGGAGATGGGACAGTCCTGCTAGTAGACCAGAAGAGAAGGACCCATAATATATCCTAGGAGGATAAGAGAGTTCCTGTGCTGGGGATTAAACTAGGGCCTTATGCATATAGGCAAGTACTCTACCACTGAGCTACACCCTCACCCCACCTATTCTCTCTTTAACATAGTATGAGGAGGTCATTTGCTCAAAGAAGAGGAGAGTAGGGCTGTAGGCTTGAAGAAAGGAGAAAGGTTAGAGACAGTTGCATGAGAAAATGAGAACTGTGAAAAAGTGTATGTTCAGTATGAGGACCCATTTGAGGTTAATGACTGTGAACTTATAGTGAAATCAACCTGCCCCATTGGATAATCTTCAGTGTCTTGGATACAGGCCCAGAAAAACAACTGGATTCATCCAGGTATAGAGCTTAGACAAATGGAATTGACAGAGGGACACGTGAGTCTAGGAGAATAGAGACATGTAGGGCAAAGAAGAACTGTAGAAATTCTGCCTGTGAAAGTCAAGCTGGATGATAAGGGAAGTCATGAAAGGGGAAGGATGATGGGTTGAGAAACAGCAGAGAACAGCCAATGCCAATGATGTGAAGAAAAATTGGTATGAAACCAACTGAATAAACACCTGAAAGAAGGTGAGAGTAGCTAAGCAGAGAAGTGTTCAGTGGAGCAATTTTGGAGGAACAGCATCATACATGCATTAGGTTTTCATTGCTGTGACCAAACACCTGAGAAAATCAATTTAGAGGAGGAAAGATTTATTTTGGCTCATGAGTTCAGAGGTTTTCATCCATAGTCATGCCACAACAGAAGGGCATACTAGAGGAAAGCGCTCAACTCATGGTAGCTGGAAGCAAAATGAGAGAGGAAGGAGCCAAGGATTACATATAGCTCCTAAGGTCATGGCTCCATGACCCACTCCCTTCAAATAGGCCTTACTCCCTAAGTTTTGATTACATCCCTGAAATGCCATCAGAGTATGATCTTAGCATTAGAATTCTCAGTATCCAATCACCTTCTACAAGTCCCATTTCTGAAAACACGAGAGTTTGGGGAGACATTCTAGATTGAAGCCATACCTATAGTTAGTAACAATGCCAGTGGAGTTTCTGTGAGAGGGGGTGGCTGAAATCACTGACGGTGAAAGGAGGATGAATTCCTGGGTTATCTACAGTCAAGTTTCTGATTCTGTGAAGAAATATGAACCTTACTTAATAAAGCCAGTGGTAGTTAATTTGTCTATTATGTATAATGTATTGTATTCCCCATAGAGATATCAACCTACCCTGTTGAACTGAAATGCAAAGGGTATAAGAAAACATTTGCCCCATGAGAGTTCTGCAGGAAAAGTCGAGTACCTGGAGAAGACACCAGGCTTAGCAAAGGTAAGAGGCAGGATGTGAGGAAGCATTAGAGAAGAAATTATCCAGACAGGGAAATTTTCTAATTATGGAGAAAGGACTCAAGAGGTGAAAATGGAAGAGAATTAGGAGAGGAAGCATGGAAGGATGAGACAGAAAGAAACGAATCAACTGACTGTGTGGCCATGGAGGTTGAGGCTATTTTAGACCTTGACCAGTACAAACATAAATGAGAGTCACAATTTGGTCTCCAAGTTGCATTGAGGATATAAACCTTGTTATCTCCTCATAGGGATTACTAGGTTGCAGCAAGGGGGGGTATCATCTTGTTACATCCTTGGCTAGGAAAGAAAGGAGAAATGTCATCCCTTTGGCCTCTCTAGAGAATCAACATGCAGGTTCAAAGCTACATAATAAAACCTGGCAGTTTCTCTGGATTCTCCCCAAATCTCTCCAGGGGCAGGAATAGAAGCAGCCCAGGAGGGGGAGGGACTATGGGCCACAGAGCCTGCTAGGGCCGGGTGAGGGAGGCATTTTGCCCTCTCCTCTGATAATTGGCCCACAAGGACTCTTATCTCCCCCAAGGAGGCTGGTGTTCCCCTCCCTGATCCCTCTAAAGCAGAGTGACAGCCGTGAGCCTGCTAGATCATCCATGTTGCCATAGCAACAGACTTGCCCCTGGAGCCGCTGGTTCATGGCAAAATGATAAGGCCTCTTCTAAAGGTTGCTAATGCAGGTTTGACCAGGAATGCAAGCCAGGTGGGTAGACAAGAAGGCTTAGAGCCACAAATATTCAGGGCAAAAATTTTACCTCAAATGGTCAAAAGCCAAAAGAGTCTGAGAATGAGTATAAACCAAATTCAACCAGCCAGAGGTGAAACTAAAAAAGCAGAATTTAGTCATCAAGTCTAAGGAGCAACACTTTGATGGATTTTGAGGAGGGTGGTGCTAGTGAGAGTAAGGAAAGAGGCTAAAGCAAAATAGACCAGCGTATTTGTTACTCCTTCTCTTTGGCTGCTGGCTACACAGTATGCTGGCTGAGCTATGTTGATATTTAGGAGCCAGGGTGGACATCCGCTGCTCTCAACCCTGATCAGCCATGGCTAACGTGCTTTCAACTCCAGTTCTTGCTCCAAGTCAATGAAATCAAATTCTGGCGATGTTCTAGAACTTCATCCCCAGTGCTTGCTCAATCATCTCACCTAAATGAAGTTCTCCTATCTCTTTGTAGGCCCATAAAGTGACAGATACTGCCTAGGATAGCTGGCCAGCCTCTGAAGCCAGGCATGGTTCTTAGTTCCTGCTGTAGTTCTCAGCTAGGATTGGAATACGTAGCTCTCTGGGCTGGGACTTGGTGGCATCTAAGCTTCCTAAGGGAAGGATATTTGAAAGTTTATTCCTGTATTCCCTATACAAAGAATGGAACATGTTATACAATAGGATCTTAATAAATATTTAATAAATAGTTGAATGAATGGATCATTGATAACCTTCCTAGCCCTACTCCACAGGCCTCTCCTGTGGGCACCTGCCATTGGCATGGTCCTTCTTCTTCCAGGAGGGTTCTTCTTATACCCAAAGCTTTTCTTCCAGTTGTCATGGAGAGAATCTGTGCTGAGATTCCTGCTGCTATCCCTCAGTGGATCCTTAGACACCAATACCAGCTTGGACAAGGTTTCAAATACATGTGCCTTTAGCTGCCATAACGTTAGCTTCTGTATGACAACAACCCTAATCCACAGACTCAGACATCTATTTCTCTCTTTCTATGAACTAAGGACTTACCATCCTGCACAGGCAAAGCCTATGGACTCTGAAAGCTCTGCCGATATTATAGATGGCCTTGAGGGTCTCCCAAATACAACAACCTAGAAGTAGGATTATAGCAACGCAACTATATTCTAATCCACAACTGAAGGACTATAAAGTCTCTCCCCAATAAATTATACAAAAAGTATATAAATGCATACCTGTTTTTATTTTTGTGTGGCACCTGCCACTACTTGAAATTACCTGTGTGTCATGTTGATTTTTGTCAGTCTTTCCCACTGAATTAAGCTCTGTAATGTCAGGGACTTTGTCCATTTTATTTAGCACTTAAATGGCAGGTGTCCAGCAGCTATTGAATGGGCGAGCTAATTACTCCGAGCATCCTCAGAGCGAGTCCTCCCCGAGCGCAGGTACCTGATTCTCTAACCATGAGCTGGATGTGCCTGTTTTCTTCCTCACTTGCTCCATCTTTCCATTGGCACGGGGGCTCCATGCGCCTCACACTCACCAAAGTGCCAAGGCATTGGGACTTCTTTGGTTATCAAAGTCCCCAG